ACACACATAATCTGAATTTCTTCCAAGTTAAGATTAGATGCCACCAATGCCAGGGAACTCAAGATATCCTCAGGAGACCCAATTTTACCTTTGTTTTCAAGGTTTCTGTTAGGAAAATAGTTATTATGGTCTTAATAATATAGTAATAGTCATGTTAGTCTTATCCTGATAATATGGGTTCTTACACTTATGTCCTTGGCATTAATATAGCATTGCATGATATAAAAATATCAATATGTCATCAATATTCGTCAAAATTGATACTGTACTTTTTAACCATGTATTAATAATTATTAATCTCCCAAGTGTTCCAGCCTTTCCGAATACATTATTTTGATACATTATCTAAGTCAGCCCTCACCATGACCATATGAGAATGAGACCCCCAATCCCAGTTTACACTTCAGAAAATGGAGGCTGGGGGATGTGAACAGCTTGCCAGAGGTTTCAGAATGAACAGGGAGGGGGCGCCTGGGTGGCTCAGTTGGTTGAGCCCGACTCTTGGTTTTGGCTCAGGTCATGATCTCAGGTGTGAGATTGAGCCCCTCAAGAGCCCTGAGTCGGGCTCCGCACTCATCAGGGAGTCTGCTTCTCCCTTTCCCTCTGCCCCTCCCCCAACTGGTGTGCATGCACTCTCTCTCTCTCCCCCCAAATAAATAAATAAATAAAATAATTAATAATTTTTTTTAAAAAAACTGCACAGGGAGGTCTGGGACCTGACCCAGACCCGGCTCCTGGCCCATGCTGGGCGCTAAGCAGCCTTCTTCACGCTGTGCTTGGGCAGAGACTTGTCCTCACCTTTCTCGTTGACATTCGGATGACACAGCTACTACCTACATCCCACAGAGCTGCCAAGGTTAAATGCGGTGATGTGTGTGAAGCCTTTAGGAAGCTGTGTAACTCACAGTAAGCCCTCAATAAACGCTATTATGTGATCCAGCGGAAATGTTTCAGAGAAACATTTCCACTTATCAAAATTGATTCTTCTACTATTTTTTTCCACTTCAAGTATTATCTTTATATTTTTCATTGTTAGGAGCAGTTCTTTCTATTTTTGTGTACGATTTACATTAAGATAGTAAATTCTATTTTCTTACTGGTATAATCTGAGCTGCAAATAATTTTCAGAAAACAGTTTTACTACAAAAATTTTAATTGGCTTTTTTCCTTCCCAAATGTCAGTCACATCCTTTGTGTCTCCTTCGTAGTGAAACACTTCTCCCAAGCTTAAAAAAGAAGTCATACCTAGAAATCCTGCAAAAATGCCAGTTTCCATGGCAACCAAAAAAAGCAGACATGAAAAATGCCAAATGTAATCAATCAGTGCCTTTGAATTTTCTTTGGGTTCTGTGGATTCCTTTAAGTGATGGACAAGAAGGCCAGTGTTTGTTTGTATTTGTTTTTATCTTCAGGCTGGGATATATTTTCCATACACCTGTATTTTCATTTTTTTTTTCTTTTTCATTCATTTCCAGTGTACACACAAAAGATCAGTGTTTATAATTTTAGAGAAATGATAGGATCACAGAGTGAAACAGTCTAACACGCCTGTCAAGAATTTGACATAAATAATTTTGGGTCATGAATATCTCCTCTTATATCCAGTAATAATAGCACCTTGCATTTATAGTACTTTACAGCTCAGGGTTCTTTTCCATGCATTAGCTAATTTAACCCTAAGAATAATCCCATTATGGGTAGTTTTTAAGTGTAATCAAAGATCCTCAGAAGGATAAAGCAACTTTCTTAGATATAGCAGACTGTGAAATCAAAATGCAAACCCAGAATTCCTTATCCTTTGTCCATTTTTACCAGTTTTTTATCGTTCCCAGAAGAACTGATAAAATTTCCCTAGTAAGTTGCTACCTGACAGCCCTGTAGTCATGATACTGTTGCAAATGCCTAATGTAAGTACATGCTGCTGAAATTGATGATGGCTAATTTCCTATTACTTGAGTTAGAGTTAACTTTCCCAAGGTGGGGATGCAAAGTAAATTATCAGAGTTCCTAAATCAGTGAAAAATAAGGTCTCTTTTTTCACAAAAACTGTATTACTAGAAATCAGCAAACTTTTTCTGTAGAGGGCAAAATAGTGCATATTTTTGGCTTTGTGGGCCAGTCTCTCTGAGACTGCTTAACTCCATTGTTGCATAAAAGCAACTGTAGGCAATATGTAAATAGAAGAGCATGGCTGTGTTCCAATAAAATTTTATTCACAAAAATGGAGACGGGAAAGTATTTGTTCCATGGGCTATGGTTTGCCCACCCATGGTAGAAGATACTCACTTAAGTTTAATCTAGAAAAATGGGGAGTAAGTTTTATGTTGTCCTTACGGAAGCACTGAGAGAAATATTGAGTAGAGGACAGGCATTCTTATATATGCGTGGTGTACCCTGGGATGGGATGGATGCTCTAGGAAAAGAGGTTGCTCCAGAAAACCCTACAGATCTGTGTTCCCTAAGCTATATGACAGGATATATTAGTCTTGCCTCTGGTCATAGGGCTAGCTAGGGAAACATACTGGCATACCTTCTTTAATTGCACACACACTCTCGGGCTCCTTATCATGTGTTGTGCTGGCAACCACTGGGTAGACAAAGATGAACAAGGCTCATCAGCAGCTCTCTAGCAGTTTGCAGTGTGGAGTAGGAGCAGGAGAAGAGGTGGTGAGGACAGACAAGCATACAAAAAACCATAAGCATGGCATAAAGAAAAATGTGGAAAGGAGCAGTAAGGAGGTTTTAGCAAAGTGCCCTGAAAAGACATAGGCAGGAGAAATGAGGTTTGTCCTCATGTGGTGGTCAGGGGTGGCATGAGTTTAGAGGGTGACATCTAGCTGGCCATGAGGGATGAGAGGATCCCAAAGGAAGCTGAGGGAAGGGCAGGTCGGGAAGAGGAAACCGTAGGCATACAGGTACAGAGATTCAGGGCGTGTGTAGGGAAAAGCATAATCCCCAGGGCCTGCACTGTGGGACAGGTGAGGAGAGGTACAGGAAGAAACAGAAATAGGGAGCTGGGAGTCCAACCAAATCTTCTGAGAGCCGGAAAGGCGAAGCTGAGGTGTTGGGGTTTTATTCCACAACATAAAGGAGCCCTGGGTGATTTTTGAGCAAGTACATAAATTGGATCAGAAGTGGGCTTTACTGGAGCACCTGGGTGGTACAGTTGGTTAAGCATCTGACTCTTGGTTTCGGCTCAGGTAGTGATCTCGGGATCAGTATAAAAATTATTGCTGAGGTTTTTACATTCTCTACCTTACACTAAGACCTCAAAATCTGGTGTGTATTTTCATTTAGAGCAAGTCTCAGTTCAGACTTGGGATATTCCAAATGCTCAGTGTAGCAAGTGGCCACCGTATTGGACAGCACAGCTCTAGAGCATATGTAATAATAAGCACCCAGGAAGGGACCCTGGCCGAAGCTGGAGGCAAGATCGAGGATAGTCATTTAAGGATGCCCATTTATTCTCCCAAGTCTCCTTGTGCCCTAAGTCCTTTTAGAATAACCAACACGGTAATAATTGCTGTGCCTTTAAAATAAAATATTCATAAATTGCCATGTGGACTTAGAAAATCCTGTTCTAGCCAAAGGTAGGTACTGTTAAGGTAAGTAGAATCTCACACGCTTTACATGATAATTACAAGAGCCTCAATAAGGAGTTTGAATCTTAACATTTTTCAGCCAGAGAGGCTCTTCACAATTATTTCATGAAGCCTTCCAATTTTACAAATGGCAAAGACCCAGTTTCACTGAACCGAATATTACTCCCGGGGTTGCCTAATTCTTCCCTTTTTCCAGGTGACTGTGTGTGTGTGTGTGTGTGTGTGTGTGTGTGTGAGAGAGAGAGAGAGAGAGAGAGAGTGAGTGTGATTCTACGGTATGCGACAGAGGCAGAGAAACAAAGACAGGCAGCCGAGCCGAGGAGCTGGGAGAAGGACGGTAGTAAAGACCATTTGCTAAGAAGCACGCTACACATGCCGGGGCCCCACCCTGATCTACTGAATCAGAGCCAGACTCACAACCAGATTAAGGTAGTGCCATGGTTAATCCCTAAGGAGACCCCTATTATCATCGGAAAGAAAGAAAACACAGGAGATTTTGTTTAACCAAAATACCAGAAAGGTCTAAGGGTTAGAAGGAATACCTTATTAAACTGCTTGGAGGGTTAGTTAGTGGGGGGAGCAGGAGAGGTTGCTGAGTGGGGCAGGGAAGGACACAAAGGGACATCCGTGGAGCACGCAGAAGTAGCAGCCACCAGACCTCTTGAACAGAGAGATGGCCCAGTGAACTGCAGTGTTTGGGGCTGGTGTGTGTGTGTCTGCATAACGTTTGGGGGTAGAACTCAGTTGCTGTAGGAAAAAAAGGTGAGGTTGAGGGTATATCAACTGGCTTCATTTCCCCCATTACAGCAGCCAAAAAGGAAGAGGGAAACAGGAGAAATATTTTATAATATCACTTTGGGCACCATTTTATTAGTCTGATCATAATATTCAACTCTGAAGGGTCCTAAGACACCCACGTTTATCAGCTTGCACGTAGCCAGGGATATGTAGTCTAAAAAGCACTGCAGGTGATCTGTTTTGGACTTCTCCCCACCAAGGTGAAAACTGTTATAGCGCTGTGTCCTAATTTTAATGTGCATACATTCACCTGGGGACTTGTTAAAATGCACGTCCTGATTATAGGTCTGGAAAGGAGCCCTGGATTCTGCATTTCTGACAAGCTTCTGGGCGATTCCTGTGTTAGTTGTCTGCAGACCACCGATGGAATAGTAAGACCCCCAAACATCAGATACTGTGCACCAAATTATACAAGCATCCCCAGGTATCTCCGCCTTTCCCACACTATATTCCCAGCTTTGGGGCCTGTGGTTCCCTCCGCTCAGAGCACACAGAGGTGAGGAATTGGGAGAGCCCAGGGCTCTGAGCTACAGACCCTGCTTGGGAGCACCTTTCCTTTGAGGCTCACATCGTTTCGTCCTTTCGCCTCTCTGCCTGTAGGTGTCTAAGCTTGAAAGAGAGAAGACTCAAGAAGCAAAGAGGATTCGTGAGCTGGAGCAGCGCAAGCACACCGTCCTGGTGACAGAACTCAAAGCCAAGCTCCATGAGGAGAAGATGAAGGAGCTGCAGGCCGTGAGGGAGAATCTCATCAAACAGCACGAGCAAGAAATGTCAAGGACGGTGAAGCTGCGGGATGGAGAGATCCAGAGGCTCAAGTCGGCTCTGTGTGCTCTCCGGGACGGCAGCAGTGACAAAGTAAGGACAGCGCTCACCATTGAGGCCCGGGAGGAGGCCCGGAAACTGTTTGATGCAGAGCGCCTTAAGCTCTTACAGGAAATTGCGGACCTGAAAACTGCCAAGAAGCAGGTGGACGAGGCTCTCAGCAATATGATCCAAGCGGATAAAATCAAGGCTGGGGACCTTAGGAGTGAGCATCAGTCCCACCAGGAAGCCATCTCGAAGATCAAGTGGGAGTCAGAACGGGATATTCGGAGGCTGGTTAGTAACCCAGGGCAGTACGTCGGTGTACAGTCATTCTCTTTCCAGGTTTTAGAGCGCCATGGGTATGCTTCTACAGGTGTTTCTCATGAGTGGATTATAAACAGTGCTCACCTCCTGTCTAGCACTCTGTCCAAAATGCAAGATAGGTCCATAGGTAGGTAGGTAGATAGATAGATATGCCCAAGCCAAAATCGCAGTTGTAAAGTGTAGAAGATACTGGAATCACCTTTCTCATAAAAACTGGATTCTTCCAGCCTCACATATATGGAGAGTATCTATTCAATGACTCCTGTTTTCTTGAATGTCTATAAAAATATTCTAAATTATAAACTCTTCTAAAATCAACATGTTTTGTGGGCTTTCTATTTATAAAATGTCACCGGGTTTTTACAGGGATGGGGAAAGTTTCTGTGGCTTTCAAGGTATCTGAAATGGCAGCCGCTGAGAGCATCCTGAATGATTCACCTGTCTTCTTTCCAGGAACTGTGTCTGAAAGCAAGAAATAGAGCTATCAGAACCCTAGTCATTTTTAAAATAGATCTTCTTTCTCAAAATAAACAAGGGCCATTCAAAACAGTGGCCATTATAATTTTTAAACTATTCCTAAGTAGTTTGCTATTGCCAATTTCCAAGGCTTACTTCAAGCCTATAGGGTTGGATCTTTCTTTTTAATACGTATGACCAAAAACCACATTGATCTCTCACTATACCTAAAAATAAAACAAATATAATTATTGCATAAAAGCCATAATGTCCTAAGTTGACCACGTCTAATTATTTTAGAAGAAACATTACATTTACATTCAGAATGTTTAGCATTAGTTATATCTTAGTTCTATCTTGTCAAATTACCCCTCACCTGTTAGAATGCACTTTATGCTTCTCTAACAATAATATTTTCTGGCCACCTGGCTGGCTCAGTCAGTGGAGCATGCGACTCTTGATCTCAGGGTTGTGAGAGCCCCATGCCGGGGGTAGAGAGTACTTAAAAATAAAATCCTTAAAAATAATAACAATATTTTCTTAGGAAAACTACACTTTCCTTTTGTGTCTGCTAATTCTAAGCAATTATTTTGTAAGAACTCCAATTATGTTCCTTGGACCATATCTCTAGGATTTCGATTTTAAGTAAAAGTGGTTACTGTAGAACATTTTAAAAAACTAAATGTGTAATTTTCTTTGTACTGCAATACAGCGTGACCGTAAAATGTTGCCTTTGCCACACTTCCCAAATTCTTTGTCTGCAATTCGTTCTGTTGCCCTGGTTGACAATAAAGACCAAACACAGTGCAGAAATATTCGTCTCTGCCCTGCCTTTGGTTTTTGAAAAGACAACAGCTGATGAAGAAAGAACCAGGACTATGAACTCTGGAGTCAGCAGGTGGGTAAATGAAAAGGATGTTGCACATCAAATATTTGTGTTTGTTGATGGTTTTTGATATAAAGTCTGAAGTATATCTGCTTGTTGATCTGTAGTTTCTTTCTGTGACTTCCTTTTGCCAGCATAATGCTCAAGAAGACAATGCAGTCTCTCATAGTAACAATGTAAGATCTAAGCTACCTCAGGAGTGGTTAAAAAACTGGATGCAAACAGAATAACATGAGAAGTTTTTCAGTAGGTACAGATGCCCTTGTCTTCAGTTTTTTCTTGTTCTGTCACTACCCCCACGCCCAGCTCCATTTTTGGAACTGGAAGGGAGAGAAATGAGAGCCATTCTGTTTAGAAAATTTCTCCAGGGAATTCTGGTAGGCACCCCTTCCCCTCTAAGAACTAGAACTTTGGAAGATTTTCAGTATTCTGAAGCCAGGGTGTATGCTTACAACCACTATGCAATAGAGATTTATCAACACTGATTACTGGATATTCTACAGAAAACTACTTTGGAAAGTGCTGGAAGTATAAGGATAATGTTGGGATCATTATTGCATAGCCTATTAAAATGGGCTCTGGAGTCAGAAGTCCTTGGTTATCATCTATAAAATGGTGATAACAGAACTTGTGTAATAGTATTGTTATAAAAGGAGGTAAGATACGTAAAGCTCTGAAGATAGTGCCCTGCATGTAGTAAAAAATTAATACATTTTAGTTATGATGGCGATGATGAGGATGACTATACGGGCAGTAATGGAGTAATTTCCAGCAAGTTCATTTAGGTAGGGTACATCAGAACCAACTAGGAGCACGGAGGTGTGGAACCACAGTAAACTGTAAATGACATCGGAGATGACAGGTCTAACAAATAAATATGCTACCTAGTTAAGAATAACACTGGATTCAGATCTTCTAGAAGAAGGTAGAAACTAAAGACAGTGCTTTCATTCCAGAATTAACAGGACAATGTTTTACTCACCAACTTATCAGATGATATCACAGGACCGTGCAGAATTTATCCCCATGACCTTCCAAAATTGATCTAAAATGTAATCCTGTGACTGGGAGGCATTGGCTCGAAGATACTTAAATGTGGAAAAATGGGACCATGCATCAATTTTTGTTCCAAATATATACATAGGCAGATTTATATAAGGAACACAGCAAAGAATGATCTACACAAAGTGATTTGTTATAAATAAGGAGATATTTTTATAAAGAGAACAGTATAATATCATTTGTATTAAATGTCTCTATCCTATCTCCATTTTGAATATTCTTATGAAATACAATGAAATGAGAAGATTTTTGCCTGATGGTGATGCTCTCTTTGGAAATTGTTTACAGACATTAACTTCTCTAGCCCTCACCAGGAATGGGACAAATTTTCCAGTCCAATGAAACTCTTGATCAGTTGATATCAAATGCTTATGGCCTTAAGTTGACAAATCTGAGACCATGCCGAGACTTAACAGAAGTGAGTGTTGGGATCCATAAATAAGTCCCACAGATGTAGGAGGGGAAACAGTGGCTAATATTACCAGGTGTTTCCCATTCCTCTTCTTGTGCCGACCCTGGTTTTCTGACAGTAATGGTAAAATGGTTGCCTTAGCTGTTTGCTCTGAAATGTGGAAAGGAATGGAAAGATCCACATAACGTGAACCATGCTCCAAACTCACACCTGAATTCACTCCACATTTGCCACCTGAATGCAAACATACTGGCCTTGGGAACTGACTAGGCTCCTGGAAAGTCCGCAGATTCGTCAGCAAAAAATGATCAATTCATAGTGCCTCCTCCTAGTTAAAGTGAACTTAAAGTCTGTTCTTCCAAACAGGAGGGAAGATCAGAAATTGTCCTGGGAAACACTGTAATGTAATACTGAGTATCTGTCTTTATCAACACAAACGACCCATTTTATTTTATTATTTTTTTTTACCAATGACCCATTTTAAAATTAACCTCTCTAAATCCAACCAACCTAGACTATTTCAAACAATATACTGAACTAAAACGTCTACCCAGGATATACCAGAGAGAGAAAGTTACTCTCCTTGATACCTAATTATCCAAGGATAGCCTTTCATTACACAGTGTTGCCTTGTCTTGTTCATAAATTCAGCATACCTGTCACAGTCATAATTTTTCCCCATAACGATCAGCAGAAAGAAGTTAAACTCCTACCATTGTAAAAATGCATTTTTTTTTTACAGCATTGTTAAATAAAATGTCCTGGGTGTCATTTAATTCAGATGGATGAGATTAAAGCCAAGGACAGGATCATCTTCTCCCTGGAAAAGGAACTGGAGACCCAAACTGGCTACGTCCAGAAACTGCAGCTGCAGAAAGAGGCGTTGGACGAACAGCTCTTTCTGGTCAAGGAGGCCGAGTGTAACATGAGCAGTCCGAAACGAGAGATTCCGGGAAGAGCGGGAGACGGCTCCGAGCACTGCGGCAGTCCTGTAAGTCCGAGCTGAAGCGAAGAACTCAGGAGTCATCTTTTATTTAGCTTCCAAGTTGTACTTTTCACTTAAGCTCTTTTCCTGTTTGCTACAAAGAAATCAATTCTACCTCCTCCTATAAAACCAGCTAGTATCTTGGGAACAGGGTTTTCTAAACTCACAGAGACCAAAGTGGTCTACCCTGCATTAGCAGATCACAAGAGAATTACAGGTCTTTTTAAATCTTTCATAGAATTTTTCTACCCACGCGATACCTATCCAAACTTCAGCCTATTATAAGAGTCATAAAGTAGATGAAACTACTTTGCCTCTTGCCAAGACTGGTAATTTTCCCTTGTGTGAACCCTTGGGTTGGAAATTGGCAAAGACGGTTGTCATCTACAGGGGTCAAAATGTATGACTATATAAAAAACTGAACCGCTTAAATCATCATCTGAAAGTTTCTAGTCCAATCGAACTTGCCACTCATTACCCTGGATTTTCATTATTTTATAGGAGAAATTATTTTCAGAACTGCAGGCATAGAAATCAGCTTGTGTATCGTTGGCTTTCATAACTTAGCTGCTAAAAAGATGAAAATGTATTATTTAGGAACAGAGATAGGTTCCAAAGTAGTACTTAGAACCAAGTAATGAATAATTTATGAATTGGTATTCAGGATATATATATCCCAGTAGGTGGCAGAACCAGGATTTAGCAGATGTAAGTTGCAGTTCTGTCCCTGACATTTACCTGCAGTGCAGCAAAACTGTCAAGAGAATGGGCTCTAGGGTCAGACCCTTTAGTTCAAATTCTGGATCTGCCAGTTACTGCATGACTTCAGGCAAATCATTTTCCTGCTCAGAATTTCCTCATCTGTAAAAGAGAGGCAATAATGGGACTCTGTAAGGCTGGTCGGAGGTCTAGAAGAAAGGGTCTGTAAAATGTTGAGCACAGTGTCCGGTTCATAATTAGCATTCAATAAATATTAATTATTGATCTATTGATAGTAGCCACAAGACCTTGAACGAGTTATGACCTTCCTGAATCTTCAGGAAGAAATCCTCTAGGATTTTATGAATCTGGAGATAAAATGTGTGGGAAACTGCTTTGTCAACAGTACAGCACTATCAAAATGTAAGATGATAATGGAATTGCAAGTCTATAATGGTCCTCTGGATGCTAGAGCATGGAATTAATCCATGAGAGCCATGTGTAAAGTGATCCATGGCAATTATGACAGTGGGGAAGCCAGGAGCTCTGGGCAAAATGTACCAGCAAAGGCTATCTTATAATCTACTGCGTTTTATACATGAAGGTAATGCATCAGCCTTCTCACACTGACCTTTTTCTCCAGGAGTATGCAGGAATTTTCGAAGCCCAGCCCTATCTTCTATTCTTTGGCTAAGTGTGATAGGACATCTGTCTTAGCTGTGGGAAGCAATGTGCAGCCATGACTTAAGAGACGCTCCTTGAATCTCATGTAATCACGACATGACCTTGGTCTCAGAGCTCACAGATTTGATAGGCTCATCCAACCATCTACCACTCCCCCGCCAGGAGTCAGGGCTCCAGAGGGTGTCTGCCACATGGAATTCATTTGCAGTTTCAACCAGGCCTGGTCTTCAACCCAAGCAGTGAATATCAAGGGTTAGAAGAGGGTAAATATTTACTCTTCTCTGATTACAGAACATTTTACTCTCACCTCATAAGCCAGATGAAAGGAACCAAGCCTCTTACTTTTATGAGTAGAATTCCCAAACTTTGTGAAAAGTGTTATTGAAGAAATACCCATTTTAATTTTCCTGCCTAGGATTTGAGAAGAAATCAGAAGAGAATAGCGGAATTGAATGCCACTATAAGAAAATTAGAAGACAGGAACACCCTGCTTGGAGATGAACGAAACGAACTGGTGAGTTCTGCCCAGAATTATTTATTTATCTGGTGATTTTGTTAAGCATTTTATTTAAGAAAATATATATGATGTTGTAGAAGTATGACATAATAAATACAAGTGCACAGATAATAAAGGTCCAGTTTAATAAATACACCCAAAGTGATACAACCATATAACCACCACCCAGATGAGTACCTGGAAGATTAGCAGCACCTCAGAGCCTCCCTCTCTTGGGACCTCTGCCAGTCACATCCTTCTAGAGTTAATCACTCTACTGAATTCTGTCACTGTAGATCGGTGTCACCATTTCTTAAATGTTTTGTAAATGGCAGCCTATAGTAATCACTCTTCTGTGTCTGGCTTTTTTGCCCAGCATTACATTTGTGGAAGTTACTCACTGTATTACATGTATCATTCTTTCATTTTCTTACTCTATTTTATTTAATTAATACACCATAATATACTTCTTCTTCGATTGTTAATGGGCATTTATAGTGTTTCTTAACAGTTTTAATGTTAGTGGTGCTGCTACATGTCTTTGGTGAGAAAATGTGTTCATTTCTGCTGAGAACATACCAAGGAGCAGAATGACTGGGTCGTAGGGTGTGTGTGTGATCAGCCTCAGTACTGGTTGCTGGGTTTCCACAGTTGTTAGAACAATTGCATTCCCACCACCAGCATGGGAGACTTGCAGTTTCTCCACAGCTTTGCCAACATGCACAGATCGTTGATCATATTAGTCAGTATGGTGGGTGTGAGCGATATTCTGATTGTAGGATTTTGATTTTTACTTTCCTTAATAATGTGGTTGAATGAATTTTCAAAAATCTGTTGGCCTTTTGGGTGTCCTTGTGGGATCTGACCTACGAAAGACAGGTCTTTCGTAAAATTTTCTTTTGTGCTGCCTTTATTTTCTTATTAATATTAGGAATTCTTTGCATCATTTTTGGATATTTGTATTTAAAATATCCTGCTCTGGGGGCACCTGGGTGGCACAGTTGGTTAAGCGACCGACTCTTTGTCTCGGCTCAGGTCGTGATCTCAGGGTCATGAGATTGAGCCCTGTGTCAGGCTCCACGCTCAGCAGGGAGTCTGTCCGGGATTCTCTCTCCCCTTCTCCCTCTCCCCTTTCCATGCTTTTTTGCACATGCTCTCTCTCAAATAAATAAGTCTTAAAAAAAAATCTTGCTCTGTGCCTTACATTTTACATTCTTAATGGTGGCTCTTGGTACAAAGAAGTTATTTTCAGCATTTTGTTTTTTTCCAAATATATACATTTTAGGTCATAAATGTCTCTAAGCATGACTAGCTTCATCCCACACATTCTTTTATGTCATAATGTATTGTTATATCAAAATCTTTTCTAATATATGATTTCTTCTTTGACCAATGGGTTACTTAGCACCATAAGGCTTAACTTCTAAACATTTGGGGATTTTTGAGTTATCTCTCTTCTATTGATTTCTACCTTAATTCCATTATAGTCAGAGAATATACTTTGTATTCTTTCTTTTTTTTTTTTTTAAGTTGAAGTACAGTTGACACACAGTGTTACATTAGTCAGGAATACTTTGTATCATTTCATTCTTTAAAATTTGTTGAAATTTACTTTATGATGGTAGTATACTGTCAATTTTAGAAACATTCCATGTTCTCATAAAAAGAAAGTATGCTGTGCAATCATTGCATGTGTTTTGAATCAAGTTCATTAATAGTCTTGTTTAAAATCTCCTATATCTTTATACTGTTTTTGTGTGCTTCTTCTCCCAACAGATTTGTCCGTATCTATTCTTAGTTTTATCAAGTTTGCTTTATATATGTTTGAAGTTATGTTACTAGGTACATATAAAATAAGATTTGTTAAATGTTTGCATCATGAATTTTTTTATCTTTAGTAATACTTCTTGATTTAAAGTCTTGGTCTGATGTTAGTTACACTATGTCAGATTTTTTCTTTTGGTGGTTTCATGAATATCTATGTTGACTTTCACACTTCCTTTATAATACTTAAGCTATATCTTTTAAAAGGAACAGTTTTTTTTAGGTACTTTACATCTAAGGTTACTGATGTATGGTATGGTAGAATTACTGATAGCTCCTTTTACTTGGGTTTTTCTGCATCTTCCATAAATAGCATCTACTAGGTAAATTTAACTGTTTAAAACCCTTGTCATTGACCTTCAGAAAAGAGACAAAGTTTAAAATAGTGAACCTAGTGGAATAATGTATTTGTCCTTGTATGTGCTTCGTATTTAATATGATTTCTTCAGACACTGAAACTCAAATCTGAGGATGAAATGAGGTTATGAAAAATTTTGGCCTTTGATATAAAATGAGTTTTCAAATGGCAGTTAGGATACAGTTGGGGAGTACTGTTTTAGAATCCCACAAGCAGCTGTTTCAAATATTTATAGGTAGCTAAGTCTCCTACCCCAGCACTTCCTAAAGCGTTAGATTCTCAAAAATAGGAGTACTTTATCTTGTCAGATGGTTCTGATAGACTCCACCACTTTCCTTGCTTCAGTACCCCTCCCCCAATACATACTCATTCGGAAACATTAGTATAATGTTTCTAATGGGAACTTTAACATGGGAACTAAGCATGGGAACTTTAACATGGAAATCCGTTATGTTTAGAGGGACCGTAAAATATGTCATCCAAATGGGAATTTTGAGAGCAAAGGGGGGGATTATTAACAATTACCCCAAGATAGCATTCATAAAATTAGACCAGTGGTTCTCAGCTAGAAGCAATTGTGGCAGTATCTGGAGACGTTTTTGATTGTCATAACTGGGAGGATGTTACCAGCATCTAGTGGGCAGAGGCCAGGGATGCTGTTAAACATTCTACAATGCAGGACATCTCCTCATGACAAAAAATATCTAGCGCAAAATGTCTAGAGTGCTGGGGTTGAGAAACCCTGCCTTAGACTAACTAGCAAACCAGAATATGGTCACTCTTAATTATGGGCGGGTAAGAATATAATCATACTTTTCCCAAGCTCAGTGAGAATTAAATGTTCTTAAACACAAATATCAATAGAGTTTTGAGAGTATGTTTTTTTTCTGAATAACATTTTCTTAAAAATAAACATCCTTGGGGCACCTGGCTGGCTTAGTCAGAAGAGCATGAGACTCTTGATCTCAGGGTTGTGAGTTTGAGCCCCACATTGGGTGTAGAGACTACCAAGAAATAAACGTAAAAAAATGAATAAATAAAAATAAACAGTCTTAGTGTGGTTTCAGGAATCTTAGCAACATCTCTTACAGAAGAACAGGCTTTGGCGACAATCAGGCTTGGGTTTGTGTCCTGGTTACACTCCTTAGTGACTGGTGATTCATATGAGCTGCTTTATCTCTCTGAGCCAGTGAGGGGTCATTGCAGGCTCAGAGAGAGGTATGAGCAGCATGAGGTTGGGGCTGAGTGTAGCAGGGTACCCGGGCTGGAGGAAATCAAGGGGCAAGCAAGGCGTGCAATTGCTCTTCCTGAGCATTGCCAAAAGCAGAACCTTGGCAGCACCTCCTAGAAGGTAATACTTGATACAGAGTTGTGAATACTATGATGATGGCAAACCGTTCGAGGAAACTGAAAACAAAGCAGTTGGCCGTTCAATGAAGGATGGACATGGTCAGTTCCGGGACACACAGTGAGGCCGACCAAAGCGGCCCCGGATGGGTTTCACCCCTGCCCGTTACTCCCTCTGCTCCCACATCCACTCCAGCACAAGAGACAAATTGTAACTTCTGTCTTCCCAGCTAAAACGGGTGCGGGAAACCGAGAAACAATGTAAACCTCTTCTGGAAAGGAACAAGTGCCTCACCAAGAGGAACGATGAGCTGATGGTGTCTTTGCAGCGCATGGAAGAGAAGCTAAAAGCCGTTACCAAGGAAAATTCGGAAATGGTGTGTATCACAGACTCTGCAAAGCTGCAGCTTCCGTCCTTAGATCACTCCATTAACCTGACTTACTACTCTTTCTCAGGTTGTTTTTAAAATACAGTGTTATTCATGAAAGTTGGGGTTTTTTCCCTGTGGAAGCAAGGAACCTTAAAGGAAGAAAGCAAGAGAAAGTTGCTGGCTCTGAATTTTAAGGGGTTTCTAAATTTGCAGAATGGTAGGAGTGCTTCCAGGAATCTGCACACTTTCCAAAATCTCCCCAGTAGAGAAGCAAACTCAGCCACAGAAACTTCCTTCCAAGAATTTCACTAACATGTTCTTTATAGAACTGTACAATGGGTACCTCTTACCTTCTGAGACATTGCATAATAGTTGAGAAATAGATGCCACCACTTGTATTATGTATGGACGGTGATAAGCTCATGCACTCCTTAACAGACTTAAAACATAGCTGTCGAGATCTTCAGACATCCCCAGTGATTTTGACGTGTAGAAAATAAAATAAACTTGAGGGTTTTGGTTGGTGCATCTATGAAGCTGAGCAATTTTCAAATTTAGTTGGAGCCTCATAAAGTTTCTACAGATATTTTATGTGAACTGCTAAAGTTTAGGATTTTTAAAATCTCTACCTATACTTTCTTCTTTTCCAATCCAGAGAGAAAAAATAACATCCCACCCACCCTTAAAGAAATTAAAATCTCTGAATGACCTCGATCAAGCTAATGAAGAACAAGAGACAGAGTTTTTAAAACTTCAAGTCATTGAGCAGCAGAACATTATTGATGAGCTCACAAGGGTAGGTCTTGATCAATCTATAAACTCTAAGCTGTTCCCAAGGGCAAGTCGCCGAGAAATCAACATGCACTGGAAGCACTTAATAATTTCAGATAGCCCCAAAAGCCCGAGTTTATATATTCGATATATAAGTAAGTTGAAGACTTTATTCCAAAAATACTTCACATTAAACTGTTTTATACATTTTCAATTAGAATCCTCTTAACTAATTTGATAACACAAATAGTGGCTGCAAAGCACCCTAAAAGAACTTCCAAATGCATCATTATGTGAGTAGGTAGATAGTGTGGGTGTACCTTATAATTGCCTTCCAGTATCAAGATTCTGAGGCCCAGAGATTAAATATTTGGCCAACAATAACAAGACCATATGCCTCTTATTTCCCAACATTTAATTCAGTCTCTAGCACATAGTACAGCTTAATAAATATTTGTTGAATGAACAGTGACATCGTAATTACATGACAGAGTGGAAATTTCAGTCCCGATCTTCTGACCATGACCTCAGGGCCTTAGAGCAGTTATTACTTCCATTTGCATCTGGCCAAGGCCTGTTTTACCAACAGCAGTGGCCTAAGACCTTCAGATGCCTTTGGGTTTCCTCTTTGCCTCACTGTCTTTATTCCATGATTGTTATCTCTGGTTGCTCTCACTTCAGGAGCAAGCCAAGGGCTGGAGAGTTGAGGAACTAGCAATGCGAGGGGTGGAGGGTGGGGGGTTAGGCAAGTGTCTCCAGAGAAGGGTGAGCAAGATGATTTAGTGCTATTGAGGGGAGAAAAGATGATAACGTCTGGTTATAACTATTTGTGGTTTATCCTCTTAAAATTGTCTACGTTGAGTACATGTTATAATGCATACATACTGTATTAGGAGGGTAATCTAAGTATAAATTTTCAAAGTTTCAGATATATTGAGGTTGTATGATCAAAATATTTGTTTTTTAAAGATTTTATTTATTTATTTATTTGAGAGAGAGAATGAGAGATAGAGAGCACGAGAGGGAAGAGGGTCAGAGGGAGAAGCAGACTCCCCGCCGAGCAGGGAGCCCGATGCGGGACTCGATCCCGGGACTCCAGGATCATGACCTGAGCCGAAGGCAGTCGCTTAACCGACTGAGCCACCCAGGCGCCCCGATCAAAATATTTTTACAAGGTGAGAAATCCTAAAGGTTAACATGACTGGCATAAACCAGACAACGTATTAAACGTGGCCTTCTGATGCAGTGTGCCTCTGACTTCACGTCCACAACCTTAATTACTAGTAAATCCCAGATTCACTCGGCCAAGACTTTTCTTGACTTTGAGTATCTGAACTTAAGACAAAAGTTTCTTATAAGAATTTGACGTGTTGAGACATATCATCCAGATTCAGGGAAACTAAGTGCCACTTATTTAATCTACCTTTGAATTTGTACAGTAAATACGTGGAGTACTTAGTGGATGAACACCAAATTCCCAGGATATCTCCATCCACAAAAAAATTAAACAGGAAATTGATCCCCCTCCCCCCAAAAAAAGCCCAATAGATGATTCCAACCCAGTAGACACTCTCTTCCCATCTTCAGAGGCTGCAGGTGAGAACAAGGGTCTAATAGAAGACAGCTTGCTATGACTTTCAAGTGATTAAATGAAAAGAATAAGGTTTATGCAAAGTAGTATTTTTTCAATACTTAAATGTAAAGTAATTTTGGGTTTGAGAAAACTGAAAAATTGTGCTTTGGGAAAATATGAGTATTTTCAGAGCTACTTGATCTTCAAGGATAATAAAGGATTCTGATGAGGAAGACAGTGTACTTCCTGATTGGGAGGCTCTCAGATCCACATAGATTATCAGGAAAAGTTGTAGTGTATTTTTACTTTAAAAATATGTAAGTAGCAGGGCACCTGGGTGGCTCAATTGGTTAAGCGTCCAACTCTTGGTTTCTGCTCAGTTCATGATCTCAGCGTCATGAGATCAAGCCCCGCACACCCAGTGTGAAGTCTATTTGAGATTCTTTCCCCTCTGTCTTCCTCCCCTTCTGCTCCTCCCCCTGCTCATGCTCTCTCTCTCTCTAATAAATAAATAAATAAATAAATAAATATAATCTTTAAAAAGATATGTAAGTAGCAAACCTAAAAATTGCCAAAATTACAAAACATAATCTTATTTTAAATAGAAATACATAATGCCTTGGGGGAAAACCAACTCTGTCATTGAGAAAAACACACACACACACACACACACACAAAACCTAGAGGGAAACATGTATCAACTCAACATCTGAAAAGTTCTTCGTCTGTTTTCCAGGACCGAGAAAAGCTCATCCGTAGGAGAAAACACAGAAGAAGTTCCAAGCCAATTAAGGTAATGGGAAAACTAGGTTATCAGGCTTTTGCCACAAACCCTGTGAGAGAAATGAGGCTTGCCAAGGAATCTTCCTGCAAAGATGTGATAAATCAGATGTTCCTAAACTGCAGCAAACCATGGGCTTTATTTGCTAGAAGAAAATCTCTTCTCTTGGTAGTTCTTAGAAGTCCAAAAATGATTGTGTTATGGATTTTAACCTTTAAGGTTTGCTTTAATATGACTTTATCTGTGTGAATAGGCACTAGGTTTGAGGTGGAAAGCATTATCTGACAAGCTGGAGAGTCAAACTCTAAGAACATGCAAGAGATACACATGATTTAATGCCTCCCAGTGAACAATATTAATATTAGTGTCTCATACCCACCCTATAATTACTCGTGTATTTTTATTATTCTCCTGGACAGTATTATTGGTAGTAGTTTGCTTTTATTATTCCATTATTCACTTGGATACTATTACTGATAATGATTATTAATAATGGTACTGTCAGTCCACCCATATCTGTATAGCCTCTTATAATCCATGAAGTTTTGTTAATTTGTCTATTTGTTTGATTTTGTTTTTATCAAGTACATTATTTGATTTGGATATGGGATTGGAGGATAAGACTTACAATTTGATAATCCCAGATAGGTGCCTGGACTTTAAGTCTGTCTTGATTATATTTTAAATACTGGAAAGAGTAAATCACATAAACTCGTCATGGTATAAAATGTAATATAAAAGAGGCCCCATTGTTTCTATGAAGAGAGCCAAATGTTAGTGAATATTCCTCAACAACATCAGAAGTGAAACAAAGTGGGACACACTTTTATTGGAATTGTTGTGTTCATGCCCCAAGTTTTTATTTCCTCCAAGAAGCACTAAAGGACCCCTGTCTTCTGTGTCCATTTGCACATATGCCAGTTGATGGTGCCTTGGTAATATGTTGACTTTCCCCACTCCTAGCTGTGTCAGTAAATATGTACTTTCCCACCCCTAGAGGCCTGTTTTGGACCCATTCATTGGTTATGATGAGGACTCCATGGATTCAGAGACATCATCCATGGCCTCATTTAGAACAGACCGAACACCAGCTACTCCTGATGATGACTTGGACGAAGTAAGCTTTTCCACTTCTCTAGTCTTTTGTGATATTGTCACCAAACCTTTGCTTTAAAGTGGAGAGAAAGCATTGCACTTCTTTTTTTTTTTTTTAAGATTTTTATTTATTTATTTGAGAGGGAGAGAATGAGAGAGAGAGAGCACGAGAGGGAAGAGGGTCAGAGGGAGAAGCAGACTCCCTGCCGAGCAGGGAGTCCGATGCGGGACTCGATCCCGGGACTCCAGGATCATGACCTGAGCCGAAGGCAGTCGCTCAACCAACTGAGCCACCCAGGCGCCCAGCATTGCACTTCTTAGATCCTTTCTGAACTGCCCAAAATGATCACATAATAGTGATCCGTTTTGACTTTGTTACCTCTTGGAAAATAGCTTCACTGGTGTCATGTAACCCTTTTAATAACTTGTCTAAAATCCTGTTTTGTAACTTGAAGACTTTTTTCAAACTAAAAGTCACTCTCCCCAATTCTTCATCTAGGGAAGGTGGGAACCAAGGAACAAGCTTAGAAGAACAACTTCTAGATACAGTTGAGGACAGGGTTTAGCAAAGTGTGCTCTGTAGACTACCATTGTCAGAGTCATCTAGGGGGGTTCAACCACATTGAAAATTCCTGGACTCTACTACACAACTCCTGAGTCAGGATCTTGCGGGTAAAACCCCCAAATCTGCATTTTTCACAAAGCTCCCTGGTGATTATATTATGCTCTGAAGTTTGAGACCTAAAGTTGTAAAACTATATTTTTATAGTTTATCTCTGGAAGAAATTATTGCATATGGATGTATTGAAAAGAATTGAGAATAAAACTATCATTTCCTCCCATTTGAATCCAAAAGCTAGGTGTAAGTTCTCATCTGGATCCAAAATTGACTGTAATCTAAGCCAAAAGAGCAATCATCAGAAATGTATAAATAAGCAAATGCCTCTTATTAACAAACATTAAGTATTTCTGCAATGTCCATCTTGAAAGTACTACAGTATTTGTGTCTACGTACATACTTTAAAATTAAGAATAAAATCACAGGGTGCCTGGGTGGCTCAGTTGGTTAAGTGTCTGCCTCTGGATTTCGGCTCAGGTCCTGATCTCAGGGTCGTGAGATCAAGCCCCATCTCAGGCTCTGCACTGGGCATGGAGTCTGCTTGGGATTCTCTCTCTCCCTCTCGCTCTCCCCCTCTCCCCACAAAAAGAATAAAATCACTCCCAGTTCAGTATCAAACAAATATTTACTTCTCTTTATAAAGTGGACAAACGTTAGTATTTCATGTTGAACACAGGATCCGAACATAACCTAATTATTTTTTGGCCTTTTTTGTAACCTCAAGAGTTTAGCAGCTGAAGAATCGGAGCTACGATTTCGACAATTAACAAAAGAATATCAGGCCCTCCAAAGAGCATATGCCCTCCTGCAGGAGCAGACTGGAGGTATCATCGATGCTGAAAGGGAAGCCAAGGTCAGTACACGTCTGGGGAGAGTGCTCTGAATTGGCCTGCAGCACTCACAGCATAAAAGTACCATGGACATAAAATATCAGTAGGATAGCTTCCCCTGTATCCTTCTCTCCACTGTGGCTTTTGAACTGTTTTATCTTTTATGTCAACAAACCTTGGATCTAGAGACATTAGAACCAACTTAGATCGATGTTTTTGTTCCTTTAAAGATAGTAGTTCTTATTCTGGCTATTTGAAAACTTATATTTTTCAAAGCTAGACAATACTGAATCTTGATAATCCATTTTTTTTTAGCTTCTTGCTTGGAAAAAATACTTTTGTGGCTAGCCACTTTCTTTTCTTAGTTAATAAGTGCACAACATTACATTGACAGCTTCCAAAGAATTTTCACTGACAATATCTCATTTAATTTTTATGACAGCACCCTAAGGCAGGTATTTTATAAAAGAGTTCAAGGCTCTGAGAGGTTAATTGAATTGCCCAAGATCACATAGCTAATTCATGGAAAACTTAGATTCCACCTAAAATCTTACTGGGTCACGTGTTCTTTCCATTACATCGCAATTGCCTCTCATAAGCTCATTTAAAAAATAAAAAGCCACACACATACAATACTAATACTTAAAATTTAGTGAGTCCTTGCTGTGCTGCAGACATCGTTGTAAGTGCTTTACATACATCATCTCATGCAATCCTAAAACAACCCTATGAGTTAGATGCTATTCTTAGCTATGTCCTTTTTATAGGAGAGATAATAGCTTTGTAGGAGTTAAATGTAGTTTGGCTACGTTGAAACCGGGATATATACCTCAGTTAGATGAAAGCTAGGATATGAACCTAGTGTTTCTGAGTTCACAGTCCTAACCACCGTGCCATAACTGCCTCATAGATTAATTTACATGGGGCAAGAAGGAGTGTGCCCACCCAGTGATTTTATCCTACTTCCAGTTTAGAGGGTCTGTAGTATGCTGAGCAGTGTCATAGGAACTACTTTTAGTTGTTTAACAGTGGGACAGGATAGATATTATAGTTGTGTATTTTTAAATTGTAACATACATGCATACATGCACATGTTTATACATAAATGAATAAACATTTTTTAAAAAAACCACTGTGATTTGGAATAGATAGGCAGGCAATCATTAGAAAGGATATATGTGTGTCCCTTCATGTTTATGCCTTAATACGTCATAGTTGTGGTTTTCATGATTAGCATGTACTAAGCATTCTCATGAAACATAGGATTGGTTAATTAAGATAATGGTATACATCTTGTTTTTTGAAGAGGTGATGATGTAGAAACCAGTTCTCTCTCTCATTTCACCCTCACCTCTAAATAAAGGTTTAGCGTTATCTCTGGCTACGAAAGTCAAAAAACCTTAACCATTCTCAGCAAAATAGTCTGAAACAAATCAAGATGTTAGAAAAAGGGCAATAGAGTAAATTGAGAGAAAGTAGAAATGCAAAAATAGGGGCACCTGGGTGGTTCAGTTGGTTAAGCATCCAACTCTCATTTCGGCTCAGGTCATGATCTCAGGGTCGTGAGATCAAGCCCTGCATTGGGCTCTGCGCTCAGCACTGAGTCTGCTTGAGATTCTCTCTCTTCCTCTGTCCTCACCCACTCTCGCTTGCATGCTCACTCTCTCTCTAAATAAATAAGTAAAATACTTTTTAAAAAAAGAAATGTAAAAATAGATAATATAGATGAATGAGTATCATGAAAACAAAAGATTTGATACAAGAAAAAAATAGATTGTACTCAATGCTCATTTAAAGTTAAAATAATTCTTAGTGAAATTAAGCTTGGGTATTTTTTTTTTAATCTAATAAAGGTAAATATAATCTTCAACAGTCCAAAGACATATTCTTCTCCCAATGAAGAATAAGAAAAGGAGGAGCACCTGGCTGGCTCAGTCAGAGCATGCAATTCTTGATCTCAGGGTTATGAGTTCGAGCCCCACGTTGGGTGTGGAGATTACTTTTAAGAAAAGAAGAACTGGGGTGGGGGGGGTGCCTGGGTGGCTCAGTCAGTTAAGCATCCAACTCTTGATTTCGGCTCAGGTCATGTTGTCAGGGTTGTGAAATTGAGCATCGGGCTCCTCAGTAGGGAGTCTGTTTGAGGTTCTCTCTCTCCCCCTCCCTCTGCCCCTCCCTGCCCTCTCTCCCTCTAAAAAAAGAAAAAGGAAGGAAGGAAGGAAAGAAGAAGAAGAAAAAAAAGGATACCTGCCATTGCTGACTTTATTCCACATTACACTAAAGAACCTATCGAGATCTTAAGTAAAAAATATGTGTATGGGCAAAAAGCAAAAATCCCACTAATTTTTCACAGAAAATAAGGTCCTATGTAGGGAGAATACAAGAGAATCTGAAAACAAATGAAGTAAGGTTGCTCCATAGAAGATCACTGTCCAAAAATGCTGATACGCACACTCACCCCCCCCACACACATACACATCATTCATACATACATACATACATCTGGATCTAGATTTAGATTTAGGGCAAAGTTGGCTCTGAAAGAATGGCAAGTTTTGGGAGAGGCAAAATGGGAGAAGGATTTCCAGAAGAGGAATTTATTCAAATAAGAGAGAAGTGGAGGGTTACAAGGCATATTTAGGAAATAGGGAGATCACCAGCAGATCGGGGTGAACTTCGTTGATGAGTAGTGGGGAAAAGATTGCAAATATAATGGGAGTTCTCACATCTCACCTAAAGACTTTGAATTTTAACCTGATGGTAAAGGGAACCACGGAAAGTTTTAGGCAAGAATTTCGATCCTAAAAAGAGTTTTAAAAAGGTTCTTTGATCATAGAAAAAAAAATTTTTTTTTCTCCCTTGTTGAGTTCTGATCAAGGAACATAAGGGGAGGAAAAATACTGAGTTACCATTTTACTTACTGAGTTCTGGAATTTTGATTTCACTAGGCTCAAGAACAGCTCCAAGCAGAGGTGCTAAGGTATAAAGCCAAAATTGAAGATCTGGAAGCGACCCTGGCTCAGAAAGGGCAGGTAGGCATCAGGTTGCCAGCTCTTCTGCAGATGCACACAATCCCGTCCGACCGTCCTCCAGCCCCTGTGCATGGGCCGCACCCAGGACACAGCTTGGCTCTCCACAGTGACCTTTCTCAAACTCTGTCAGAATGTTCAACTCGATGTTTCTGTCCCTGGTGTTTTTCTGGCCAGAGCGTGAACCCCCCGCTACAACACGAATGAGGTTGGGCAAGAGAGAGAATGGCAGACAAAGAGGAACCCCATACAAATAGCCTAGAGTGGTCACAAGCTGCTGAGACAAAGACCCGCCCCTCAAGCTGCATTCTTTGCCTCTATGCTACATTTATGGTTCTGCATTTTAATGTTTTCCATCCATATGTATCTAGCCTGTGTGCATTCTGACCCTTTTCACTTTTTGCCTGTGTGGTCACTTCTGAGTCCCCGGAAGGCTGGTCCTGGATTATTCAGACTGAAAGAGTTAGAGCTTAGTGAGTGTCAATGAGAAGGGAGTGAAATTTTCCTGGCAACTTTGGCCCCGATGTCTTTTGAAGAAGAAGCTGATAACAAGGGGTGGGTGTCATTTAGCAGCCATCGGCCGGCCAACAAACTGGGTGAGAGGAGACAGCTCTGGCCAAGTGGTTTTTCGACACAGGCTCTCCCGTGCCACTCCGAAATGCTGACTGCGCAATATTCTTTGTCAAACAGGACTCACACTGGGTAGAAGATAAACAACTTTTCATTAAGAGAAACCAGGAGCTTTTAGAAAAGGTATGTTGGGCGCAACACCCTAGTGGGGCAGAGGAGATAATGATGAGAGATCCAGGAGCAGCAGGGGGTCCCCTCAGGAGTGGCACAGGGGCTCGGGTAAGGGGAGGCTTTTCCGGCTCTGCGCTCTCCCCTGCTGCGTGCTCGACTGCATCCCTGTCACCGCCATCACCATCAGTTAGTGGCCCCTGTGCATGGCTCTGTGCTGGTGTTGTGCCGACTCGAGAGGTTGTGATCCCTGACGCCTATTGGTTTGCTTACCGTATATATATATATATACTGTCCGTGTCCTGTACACATATATATATATACACACACCCACACGTGCACACATCCTATGTGGTTGGCCATCTACAAAAAGCACGCTACGAATAGGACTTGTTATTTTGTGCAAGGCAGTGACAGACTACGACTCCCAAGACCACGCTGCAACCCAGCATAGACTGTTGTCACTTTTAATCGTTTTGCTAATCTTGGCTATTTATATACAGGTACAGATACAGATACAGATACAGACATAGATACAGATACAGATACAGACATAGATACAGATACAGATACAGATACAGACATAGATACAGATACAGACACAGACACAGATACAGATACAGATACAGACAGAGCTACAGATATAGATACAGATACAGATATATGTGTACTTTTTTTTTTTTTAAATGGGAGAACATTTTAAAAGATGCATCCAAGGCACAAAATAGCATGTCCCGGAGGTTGCTCAACAAATCAAGAAAGCAAAAGCAT